GCAACAGACTTAGTAGACTGGTGTAGCACATACCGACAGAGACCTACATTTTGGATGTTTCGATTCCAAAATCAACGGTCTAGTCATCTGTGGAAAATCAATATGCATAAAATCCACTTGATTCGCAAAAAAATGATGGAAACGCGACAGTGGAAATTTTTCCCGAAAGATTTCGACAGGAGAGGCGAAGTAAAGTCTAGATGGATGCAGTGGTTCTTCCTTACACACCATGCAGATAGTTTAACAGTATGTGACTTTTCCACCGTCAAATCAATGTCCTAGTTAATGCCTGGCCTGAACAAAGTGCCTTAACTATCGGCTGGTCCTACGGGATCTTGTAAGGTAGCGGAACTTTGAGACCAAGAGTTATCAGAATTTGCAGTAAGATCTTGTTTGAGTATGTACAAATCGCTATTTAGGTGGACATAACTTATTTTGAGGACTTATGTTGAAGTGGTATGCGTCAAAAGTGAATCAAATGCAAATTTACAAGTGAAAAATGTTTTCCTATGGTGACGTCACAAGGTTGCATCGTTCGACTTCAAGAAACCATAATTCCTGACCCTTGTTTGGATGGCAATGCTAAGGCTCTTGGATTCGAAACAATATTACCTACTGCACCTAAAGCCATCTGTCCCTTTTTCCACACCAACGGCGAACAAAATTGATAGACCCATAACTACATCATTCGTATGTGCCCATACGACAGCATAATACTTACAAGGTTAACAGCCCATGACAGCGACTGCGATAAGTAAATTTCCTAGAGATTCGGTGTAGTGCCCGTAAAAGCAAAGTGTAAGTTATTTGTGAGTTCTTCACTGAAGATCCTTACTTTACATACGTACGTCGTAAATCCATCTAGCGGCTCTAAACTTAGGAAACTCTTGGGGTGGGAAGTAGACTGCGCTTTAAAATGCAAAAGGCTGATGGCCAAAGTAAACATCAAAAATAGGATGGACACCCCAAAAGTGCTGGGACCACCGATGAAACATCAATAATTGCCGCTTCAAGTGACGCTTGAACGGATGCTCGTCGGCCGTGCCTGTTTAGGAGATGTACTGAGGAGGCCTGTATCTTAGTCCCGGTCATATCAACTCGACTGAGTGTTGATCCGTTCTTGTTCGTAATAATGAAAATGAAGATCAAGAACGGCTGTCCAAACCAATCATCCGGCGCAAATATTGAGATGAATGTATCTGCTATTTTGCCATCAACCACAAATCCGAAACGCATCACATTTGCTATCATTTTGGGTAACGTAACAAGACAATTGCGACTACAAATCAAGCGGCCGGAACAAAAGCGCTTCCTCCCAAGGAGGGTTGTCAAACCTAAAAAAACTGAAGTCCTGCCAGGAATCATGTTTTGAGTTCATATTGTCTTCAGCATGGATTCAACACTGGAAAATACACAAGATGAGAAGATTTCACTTTCAACCTCAAGATAACAAAGTAACGATGGCTTACTCTTACGTTAGGAAGTTAAGCCATTGGTCACAATTCCAACTCAGAGAAAATTGGTGGGCTTGTTTCATGGTTTACCTGTACGTCTGTCAGAACGTTCAGATTCCTGAAAATAATTCCATAATGCTCGAAACCCACTGAGACATCCAAACCCGGATCACAGTAGAAAAGCCGTCAAACATCTAGGCCAGAAAAGCCATCTGTCGACTGAAATTCAAAGTAGTCAGTCAATAACGATGAGTGTTTGGTTATTTCACAAAAGCAACGGCGGCTGATGAGGAGCATTCATCTAATGCCGATCGGACGGTCTGGATTCAAAGCCAAAAGTGCTGTTCAAATAACGCGGTGTCTTTTGTAATTTTCGCCTTTTTGCAACGAAGCTGTTTTATCTTTTCCGCTGAGTCCTTTTTGAAACTAAGGTAATGGTGTGGGGACGGCAGTTAGGTAAGGTAGAATGATCACTTGATCTAACCTTTGGATACTAGACCAGCAAGACGTACGTGACAGTCGTACACACTAAGCGGTTTTCTGAGATACAAATCAGTAGCTGGAACACTTGACTAAAATGAAAATGCAAAAAATGATCAAAAAATTAACCAATGCTGTGACGGATTCGAAAACGCAGGAAGTTAAATGGTGTACAAAGCTGGTGATTGAGTGTCGGTCATTGATCACAGTAAAGCTAAGGTCGTTGGGTTAGGCGTGAGTTTATTTCGCAAGAAAGTGACTGCATTGCGTGCACAAGACATGATCTGCAAGAGCGTTGTAGCCCGGTAGGATGTTTGTTTATGAGGGAGACAGTGCGCTCGTAACCACCTTAGGTGTAATCCAACTCGTAGCTGAGTGAGTGGAGCCTATGTCACAAAGATTAACCGTCATAAGAGAGAAACAACATCGCCAGTTGCAGAAAAGCCGGCCCGTCTGGACGGAAGTAACGCGCTCAAAAACATCCATACGAAAACTTTGGAGCCAACTATAAGATAGTTTGTGGGTTTTATAACTAGTTTGCATCATGACAAGGCCTTGCAATGCGGCAAAAAATATGGCAAATGTGCCAGAAGTCACATAAATATAGGAACAGTACAATCTAGTGTCCTGATGAGTGGAAAACTAGCACTCAAATAAGAAATCCAATCGGATGAAGTTTGATTTATTTGAGCTTGGCAACCACGAAACGTGCATGCCCAAATGTAGTTTAGGTCTGTGGCGGATAGCACAGGGTGAAAAACTGCCGGTGCAATATATAGCTAAAACAATAGAATGATAACAAACTAACGTCGGAATAAGTTGGAATATGTAATTGACAGTAAAAAGGATACTCGGTCCGGGCGTATATCGGATTTGGTGTCACCGAAAGAAATCAAGTTCTAACTCACTTAGACACGGACCAATTAAAATTTGATCAATTTAGACTCTGGATCTGGGTGCGGAAACAGGAGCTTAATACACGCGTAAGAAGCAGTTTTTCTAATTAGATTCATACTTGATACAGATCTACCTTCTTCGTTGACATGTGCCGAAAAATGCAGATGCGCCCAACACAGAACGCCAATCGTCATTTACATTACGTTTGTTCTTAACGTGGACCTAGTCTGTACGGGTGACCTAGACATTGGTACTGGGCTGACAAAAAAATTGAAGAGCTTGTTGTGATGGACGTGAGTCCGTTGTGCCAAGCGATACATCAAGACTGAATTTAAGATATGATTATGCGCAATCCTCTCATCGTTGCACTAAAGGAAACGTTAAATAGACTTTAACTTCCACAGCCGGAGGATTTATCGCATTGAACTTGGTATAAAGTACGACTATCTTACAGGATCAACTGGTTACAAGCTGATTTTCTACCCTCTATTTCAAAGGATTGCGTGGTACTACCCTGAGCATCAGTCTCCGCTAATTTTGTGTGGTGTATAGCAAAGCCTGCAACAGAGTGGAGGGGAGAGTCTCAAAGTTCAGGGGCAAATCGGTATCTCGGTCGATGTCGTAAGAGGCGTAAGAGGTGGTAAAAGTTGGTTACCAAGCGCAACACACTTTTCAGGGAGTTGACAATGCCAAACGATCCTGCATCACTCTCATTATCCAGCCACAGCATGTCACGTCCGCTTTGTACTGCATCAGGTCGAATGAAAAGTTATTGAGGGAATTCAACAAAAAGTGATGATGAGTCTGTTTTACATGGGTAGACTTCATCGCGTCAACAGGGACAGTATTACCAACAATGAACATATAATGAACGTTAGCTTCGTCGATTCATCATAGGCTCGCAAAAGGTAATGTTGGTCAGGTGCTCAATCTTAAGATAAGTGTAACCACAATCCAGCACCAACAAGGCGCTTAGTCCGTAAAGTTAACATATGAGACAATTTTCTGTGAGGTGGTTTAAGCTTTTGCAGGTAACAGCTAAATAGTGTCTGGAAATTCGCCTTGGTGATGATGATATACGAGTAATGCTGGAAACTATTGGATAAGTCCCATATCATAATCGAAATTACCGGCAGCTGTGTAGCATACAGACAAACCAGCAGTAAATCAGTGCGCGGAGTGCACCTCAAAATAACAACAGTTTAGATTGCAGGTTTAAAAAATGGCTCATTTGTAGCATCTTTTCGACACCCAGCTGCCATGCCACCTGAAGGAAGTGCGGGGACATTGATACTGCCAGACTGCCCAAGCCTGGACAGGAGTAGTTGAAACTTAGAGGTCGAGTTCAAACCACGGACCGCAAGGTCGTAGGCGGTTAGTTAGCGGGAAAATAACATCCAACGAAGCTGGTTACTACCACTCCGTAATCACGGATCAAGTGACCATATGATGTAGACTTTTCGAAGGGATCAGTACATCTTTTGGTAAGATTATGCAAAGAGCAAAAGTCCCTGTAAACAGACGACAGATGGACCTTTACATCGTCTTTCCGACACGGAGTACGTGCCAACACAACCCAGCAGATTTTGACGATCGAGTTACACTGACTGCTTTCCTTTGGAATCCGCCTATTTTCCTTATACGCATCGCCCCCCCCCCCCCCCGTGCGGGTTTGATAGTTGTTTATAGTTGTGCTTTT